CCCCCCCCCCCCTGGATCCGCCGCCCTTGAGGAGAAGGTGCAAGTACGATGGTAGCTTTTGACAAGCTTCCATGTGCAGCAATGTGAATAACAGATACCCCTTCTTGTAGTTTCTAGTAGTTCCTATTAGTTTCTCTTCACTTTTCGTTTTCTAATTTTTCTATTTATACAGTTTTCACTTCTTTTTCTTTTTTCGCCAAAAGGTCAAATTCATGTATCCAAAGTGACTTCATCTCCTATTACACGTACTTCGTATTTTGTATTATGTATTTTTCAGTATTTTGGCTCTTTATACTTGGAAGTGGTTTTCATTTCGTTAAAATTTAGTCCAAAACACATTTTTTTAAATCTTAGAGCCGATATCTATTTTTTACCACAGATTTTAATTTTCTCGCTTTCTGATTGGTCGATAGCCGTGATAAGTAAGASGACGTACCACGGAGCGCTTGAAACCGTTTTTCATTAAGACTTTTTGCGTGTGTTTTTTTTTTAAAAAGTAAAAAAGAAAATTTTCATTGCTTTTTGTGGCCTGTCCTCTTCATGGGTACAAAAGTAAAGCCCCGTTTACACTGGCGATTTTTGTGGCAATTTTCAGAAATATGAAATCTTTTGTTTCATCCTTCAAAAGAGACATTCGTCTAGGAAAATCTTGGTATCCTGAAAAAAACTTTACAAGTAAATTCTTTACCATTATTTATTATGGACAAAGTAGCAAAAAAATTGCAGCAAAAATGGCCGCAAAAATGGCCGCAAAAATCGCTAGTGTAAACGGGGCTTTATAGCTAGTTTCGAGTTCTCTTTGCTCAGCTAAATTGTATCGTTCCGCAGTACGTGCATTCCTTACTATACAATAGTCCTTAATAAAAGAAAAGAACACATTTGTACACAATCGTGGCTAAGACTGAACAAGAGCGAACTCGAAATGGGAGAATTTCTCTAACTGTTGAAGGACATACCACGCACAAAACCATCGGAAATTTGTTAAATCTTCCCTATATCCTCAGTCGATCTATGTATCATTCTAGGAAAGCTTTTAATCCGATTGGAACGTGCGGTAAATAGCATTCACTTTATGGGAATCATGTGAGTTTGAACGGTTAATTCTTAAACTGTATCGATATAAAAGCTCTTGATGACCTAGGATGATTTTTTTTTTTGTAAAAACTAAATATCAAGATTGTAAGTTTGATACGCCACGCATTTTTATCTGATCATTTAAAGAACTAATAAAAATTCGGTTTTTAGACGTTTTGTTTTGACAGTTTATTGTACCAAGAAGAAGAAACCGCTACTGGATGAGAAAGGATTCGATCAAGAGTCAACTTTTGGGTCTATTTGTTTAAARGTAAAAGTCTCTCAACTCTGATTCCTGTACTTGGCATTAAATTTGAGCAGAGAATGTTCCAGGGTTCGAAAAATTTATTTTGTTGAGGGCGCTAAGCAAAAAGGATAACATAGATCATTTWATACGAAATCTAGAAGGCTCTTCTTAAAAGAGTTAAGCCTGCTAGGCTTGAAGGAATTTTGTTTGATTTATATTCAGCGGGTTTTTTAGCGCGGCAGAAATTAAACCATGGAAAAGTCCGTAAGTTTTTGATGTTTGAGATGCTAGAGTTTTCAAGGGGTATTGCAACCACCTTATTTTAGCACGAAATAACTACAGAAGAGGGATAAATACGATATCTCTTGTTTTAAGAATATGAATAATCACTAGAAGTTTAATTTCTTGAAAAATGGACAAAAAGGAGTCTTTAGAGGAGGAATCGGGAGAGGAAGAAGTAAACTTAGTGTAGAAGATGTACGCATTTTAGGCGCGAAAGCTTCCACCATCTTCACGWAAGTTAATCAGTATGAGGCCAACTGAATTAAAATTATTTAATTTATTCAAGCAGACGAAGTTTTGACAGGAAATATACAATGTATACTTTTTTTCATTTTGCGCTTTCGTGTCAAAATTGATAAAAGAAAGATATATTATGATKAATTTTTTGAGAGGTTGTCGTTTGGGCTTCCTTATAAAGCCCCGTTTACACTAGCGATTTTGGCGGCGATTTTTGCTGCGATTTTTTTTTTTTTTTTGCGATTTTGTCCATAATAAATAATAGTAAAGGACTTACTTGTAAAGTTTTTTTTCACGATACCAAGATTTTCCTAGACGAATGTCTCTTTTGAAGGATGAGACAAAAGATTTTTATATTTCCGAAAATTGCCACAAAAATCGCAGCAAAAATCGCCAGTGTAAACGGGGCTTTACTTCACTTCACTCTGCAGCACGTATAACGTTGAACTTGATTAAATCAAACCATACTAGATTTTGTGCGATTTTTTGTGCCAGTAAAAAGGCTCTAATGGCTTTTGCATTCAGGTATCGTGAATAAAACGGCTTTGAGGGTTTTTGGAACGGAAGTAATTTGGAGGACTCGATTGGCACTTTACATGGAAATGTAACTCTTTAGGAAAATTGGACAAAAATGGAGGGGGGGGGGGGAGGGGGTTATAGAGAAATGAACTAGGCATTTGCTCTCTTTAAATTAATAATAATTTAATAAGTANTTATAGATACTCGTAATATTTATAATAAATACTGATTATCGATAACTTAATGTTAAAAAAATAATTTTACTGATGTATTGGTGTAAMTTTTGTCCACTGATTTTATCGTCTTTTCTTTAAATTTAACTTACYTTGAACTCCTTGAACTAGCTATACATACTTTGATTGCCATTTTTCATAAACTTGGCTTGATTGAAATCTCAAAACCTGCAGAAAATCAGGACATTTTTAAATGTTACATCTCCATGGCGCAAGTTACATCACAACATCCCTCAAGAGCTATTTTCATACAGTAAAACAATACGTTTTTGTTTTATCCTACACTTAAATAAGATGTTGAAGGCTTTCTTCAGTTTAGTTTGATYAGATTACATCCGGTTCACAATGACAAAACCCTCGTAGACCCCCGTGATACGCAATAAGTGTTTTAATAAAGTCAAGACCAATGAGAAATAAGCGCAGCTTTATATAAAATAGAATATTTCCATTGCAAGTCAGTAGCTCCAACATCGCTAGAGAAATATCTTTTCTGTAGTCAACCTCGCAAAAAGGTAAGGAAATTCAACTATAGAATCATACTGTATCTTTTTCACTGATTCTGCCATTAAATTAGCTATAAGTCTAGGCTTTAAAAGCAAAATTTATAATTGGTAGAATAAATAATGACGTCGTATTATTTGAGGTTAAAGCTTAAACCCGTTGATATTTAAAAATGTGAATTTGTGAAAAAATATTCAAGACGTGACAATTTTCTTTGAATTGTAGAATCTTATCGACAAAGGATGTCTGATTTTGTACTTTTAGTCAAAACCATTATTACATAGATAAGAAAACAACGGATGAGAGTTAAAGACAAAAATCTAAGCCCGACCAGATTGTCTTAAAAACAGGCAGAAAAATCTATTTTTAAAGTTGCTACTGAGGACCACTAGATCAAATAACAATAACAGCTAGTATAGCGAACAATATGAAACGCCTGGAGATCTAGCGGAGGGAACTATATAGAGTTCTAGCGAGACAAGTGAATTGCAAAAAATACTTCCTCAAGATCTCGTCGAAACTACTACGTGACAGTTTAAGTGATTGTTATAACTCTAAAAAGATAAGAATTAAACTAGATTTAAGGAAAGTTTAGAGCAAAACGTACAAATACAAGAATTTGATTCACAAACTCATGTCACGAAACTGACTTGGCATTTTCGAGAAAAAATATGCGAGGTCAAAAAAAATCATAG